CGCTGGTTCCGCGTCGCTCAACTATGGCTTCGGCACAGCTACTGCAGGTAACTGCGATCTTGGGGCGCTACAGTCTGCAGCATGGCAGAGACCAACGCAGGTGTGTCATGGTCAAAAGAAATGGCGACTTGGATACTTCAATAATATACAGAGCACTCAAGACAGCTAATTCCAGCCCGGATGCTTGGTCGAAGTTTGTTTGGAGCAACAAGGCACCTCCTCGTGTCAAATTCTTTGCCTGGCTATTATCCCAAGGGAGAATCCAATGCAAAACAAACTTGCGGAGGAAAGGTATAATGGAGAATGCGATATGTGATGTGTGCCAAGCGGCAGAGGAGATGCCGGCCCACATTATCTTTGGCTGCCCACATGCTGCTCAGTTCTGGAATGCGCTTCAAATCCCGACGGATCAACAATGGCCAATCCAGGCACTGAAGGAAATCCAGCCGCCCAATCACATACCTGGGAAATGCTTCAGCTTCAGCACATTCCTACTATTGTGTTGTTGGCACATTTGGAAGAGGCGCAACAATGTGGTGTTCAGAAATGATCGAATCGCACTAAGCGCTGCCTTAGCTGCTTGCAGATCAGAGGCATTTCTGTGGGCTGCTAGGCTGCCGCGCAAAGATGCAAGCATCGGCTCCACCTGGTGTTCAGTCATAGTTAACGCTATGTAATCCTTAAAACAATCTGTAGAAAGTTTGTAAACCTAATGGCTATTTAAGAGCCACCTTGATTAGTATCAGGTGGGGATTCTCTCCCTCCCCGTTGATTTATATAAAAAAAAAACTCTTAGACATAAAAAATTACACAAATATTTATAAACTTCACAAGGCCATGCGTTGGTACGTGAAGTGGCAGGGCCGGATGAGCTCGGTGGTGAGGATGTGGCTGCGGATGAGCAAGGAGCTGCTGGTGTGCGTCATCACGAGCGACGCGTTCTCGCCGGCGATGCGTGCTCCGTGCTGTGGTGCTGCTTGTTCATGCACACGTCCGTGCCCGGCACCACCGGTGCAGCCGTGGCCCGCGAACGTCTTGTAGAGGCCCACTGCCGCCTCAGCCGGCCCCGAACGCGCCCCATGCCACCAGTGCATGAACGGGATCTTCGCCGACAGCTCCACGGGCTTGCCGCTGACAGCTCCATGGGCTTGCCGCCGAACACAGCGTTGGCCGAGGGGCCAGGACGCCGTCGCCATGCCCCACCAGCCGAACACCGGCCTAGGACGTAGTCCGCCGGCGCGCACTGGCCCGTCGAGGCACTGGACCAGGCACGAGCGAGCAGCTGCTGCCGCATAGGGCACGCCACCGCTGCCGCAACTAGGCCAACAGAGGCACGCCAGAGAGCTGACCATGGCGGTGAGAGAGAGAGATAGTGCTGACATGTGGACCCAGATCCGTTCGATGAATATGAGACCCAACTCAGTTTAAGAGCAAAATAACACACTTTTTAAATTTAGGGACCGGGAAAACACACCTCCATAGGTTTAAGGACCGGTCATGAACTTTATTCAGTTATAAATATATGGTTGTGTTAGAAAATCATGTTATAATATGGTTGTGCAATCTTGAATTGGTACGACAACATAAGGTTAATGATTTAAAATGATCAGAGTTAATTGAAAAGTTATCTTCAAACGCATATATAAATCATGGTTCCACCTCTCCCTTGTAATAACTAATTAGTAAATTGGATCAAAAGGTGTTATACAAAACTCTATTGTACAACCACGGTAATAACACTTTAAAATGAAAAGAATAAGAAATATATTAGGAGACACGCAGATAGATATGCTACTGGAGAGAGGCCACGTCATGGGCAATCCGAAAAGAATTCCAAAACTATTTGTTCAAAAAAGATTCCAAAATTATTTCACCCACCAGAGGGCAAGCCGTGTCGTGACTTCTTTCAATGCCTGAGTTCTTTCCTTTTCTACCACATGATAATAGATCAACTTTAAATATTAAAGATGAAAAGAAAAAATGAATAGAAAAAGAAAGAGAGAGAAAATGGTTAGGCGGCCAGCCCTTCATTCCGAGTTTCACGCCGACTATAGTTGGCCATTTGGCCCGGGCACTACGGGCCGGCCCAAGCTCGACACGAATCAGCACGACCCAGGAACGGCCCGGCCCGGGCCTTAGTGCCGTGCCTGGGCCGCCATTCTGGCCCGTAGTGTCGGCCCGGGCACGTCACGCTATATGGGCCGGCCTGGTAGTGGCACGACTCGGCCGCAGGTGGCCGTTGGATCCCCGGCGTCGCTCCCATCCGACCGTTGGATCCGGCCATTGGAATCGGGGGTATAAAACCGCAGCGCTCTCGCCTCGCTCTTAGTCTCCGTTGCCCTAATTCATTTGCTCTCAGTCTCACTCTCTGTCTCTCGCGCCTCGCTCTCGGCTCTCCCCCGCAGCGCCGTCTCGCCCGCTCCTCTCTCGCCTCACTCTCCTCTCTCGGCGAGTCAGCGTCGCCGCGTCGGCGACTCGCTCTCCTCTCTCGCCTCCGACTTCCTCTCTTCTTCTTGCTCTCCAGTGGCCTCTGGAGCCATCGCTGGCCGGCACTGGCACAATCCCTAACCCTAACCCTTGCTCAATCCTTAACCCTAACCCTTGATCTCTCTTCGTCCTCACCGGATCCGTCGTCGACCTCACCGGATCCATCGGATCTCCGGCCTTGCTCCCATCGGACCGTTGGATCTGACAGTTGGAATAGGGGGTATAAAACCCATCGCGGCGGGCCGGACGCATCTCGCTCCGTCGCGGCGGTGCCCTAATTCATTTGCTCTCCTCTCTCGGCGAGTTGGCGTCGCCGCGTTAGTGACTCGTTCTCGTCTCTCGCCTCCGACTTCCTCTCTTCTTCTCGCTCTCCGGTGGCCTCTGGAGCCACCGCTGGCCGACACTAGCACAATCCCTAACCCTAACCCTTGATCTCGCTTCGTCCTCGCCGGATCCGTCCCTCGTCGTCTATGCTCGCCGGATCCGTGCCTCGTCGACCTCGCGCGGCGACTCTGCTGTGTTTGTGTGATTATGTGACTTTGAGTCTTTGATAAGTTCTCTAAACATGTAACTTTGTGTGACTTAGACTCTTTGATAAGTTCTTTGATTCTGATCAGTTTGTGTGACTCTTTGATTCTGATCAGTTTGTGATTCTGATCAGTTTGTGATTCTGAACATTCAGACTTTGTAATTCTGATCAGTTTGAAGTGTTGATCACTTATAGGGCCAGTGCCGGCACGGGCACTGCTGGGCCACCGTGCCCAGTGACAGGCACGGCACGGCACGGCTAAGACCTGATAGTGTCGTGGCTGGGCCGGCACATCAGCACGGCAGCACTAACAGGCTCGGCACGGCTAGTCTACCGTGCCGCGTAGTGCCGTGCCTGACCGTGCCCGTGCTAGTGCCGTGCCGTGCGGCCCGTTTGGCCAACTATAACGCCGACGCTTCTTTTCCTCATCCTCAACGTCCCGATCTTGAGCCGAAGAAGTCAAACTCCTCGCAAGGAGGCGGAGTGCAGGGCGGCGTGCGGGGGTCCACAGCGGGTATCTCGCCGGGACAGACCATGGGTGTGCTCCTCACCGCGGTCGCCAGAGCCCGTCCTCGCCGTAGCCGTTGCGCCCTACACCAATTCCGTCGGCACATTAGGCAACACCACTGCCATCGGTCGTTGAGTACGCACTGCAGAGAGCCGCGGCGTTCTGGAACCTCCCCGCCCCGGCGCGGTGGCGCGGCTCCATCTCTCCCTCACCCGCTCTCCTCTCCTACGGCATCAGGGGCGCGGTGGTGTGGCCTCCCATCGGCGGGGCTCACGACTCCATCTCCTATCCCGCTCCCTCTCCCTCTCTCCACATAGCTCAGGGCACGGCAGGGGCACGGGATCAGCGGCGTGGCCTCATGTGACCGGGCGGGCGTGGCCTCGCGATCGCGGATCCACGACGGCGGCGCGGCCCTCTCCGAGCTAGGGTGGGGCGGATCTCCTCCACCGAGGCGAATCCACTCTCCCGCGCCCTCCCTCCCTCCCTTCTCCGTGGATCTGGCGAGCGGCGGTGCGGATCTGCCGCGGATCTGGCGATGGCGGCTCATGGATGGGCTCGGTGGGCCCGTGGATGGACTCGCCGGGTTTATCCACATGTTTTCCTTTTTTGTGCTTTTTTATTCGATTAACCGAGGCGGGCAGGGCAATCGCCTCGGTTAAGGCCACGATTAACCGTGACCTTATGGCCGAGGCGGTTGCAAAAACCGGCTTGGTTAACCCTTTTTGTCCGCCTCGGTTAATTTTTCTGTACTAGTGTTATATAGGTTATAAGTAGAGATGATACTAGATCAGATACAGAACGGATACCAGTGATCCTGCATTATATCATATATCCCATTTTTTGTCCTATAATATTTTTTCTTAGATATTAGAACCGAATATGGATCATTCGGATATTGATATATATTTCATATACATATATAAAAAATCTAGTTTCAAGTATTCGAATTCGAATACGATCGGATATTAAATATTCGGATTTAGATACGGATTATCCATATAAACTTTGACCCTCTCAGAATGCACGGATATCGGAAAATACCCGTCCCGTTTTCATGCCAATGAGACGGGCGGAAGGCACTGGTTTGGCCGTTGATTGTGCATCAAATTTGTGCAAAAAGAACCAAGATGGTCCTTGTCCAGTCTTGCCGATAAATGCGGAATAATTCCAGGCGTAAAATGCGGTAAAGGAGACAGCTGCGAGGATCGTTGATGCTTTTGAGTTTGTCTATTATTTTGACCAAGTATATAAACCCAAACAGCTCCAACATTTGTCAGAATCTGCGTCCCTGCAGGCAGGCCGGCCGACCGTTTGCGGCTTTGCGCGTTTCCGACCAAATCCACCGAACAAACATTGGAGCCACGCAGAAGATATACCAAACGGATACATCGTTGCACAAATTCATCCCATGCATACACTGGTGTATATATATATCCCAGAGCGTGAAATTTCACTTGGAGTACATCGCCCGGACGAATGGACCGTGGCGCCGATGGCCGCGCTTCTCTGCTCACGAAGCTCGGCCTGGCCGTGCTCACGTGCAACTCCGTCGTGGCCGCCTACAGGTCGTGGGGCGACCCGGGCTCGCTGGCGTTCGTGGCGGTGGCGCTCGCCTACGCTGCGCTGCTGCTGCTCCTGCATTTCCTGTGCAGGTTCGAGCGCGCGGCGGCGCCTGCGGACAGGGGGAGAGCGAAGGCGGTGGTCTGGGTGCTCTCCACCCTGCTCACCGCAATGTTCGCGGCGAGGGTGGCTCCGCTGATGCCGCTGCCGGTCAGCGTCGCGGTCTGGGCGGTGGCGGCCGTGACGGCCGGCGGTGGCTTCTGGGCGCTCTTTATTAGCCACTGACGAGGCTTCAGAATGTGCTCAGTGCCCATATCGAGCTCGAGCTAGAGTGAGGAGGGACTGCGTGCTCATGCTGAAGCAGTGAAGCCAAGGCCCAGCGTCTCTGGGTGGCCGTCGGGGTCGCCGGTCGCGTCACGTCGATACAATTGCCTCTTCGTCTTCGTGTGTTTAAAAAGAATCCCTAGCTTACTGCCTTATTACTGCATTGTATTGACTTCGGTGTCGCTGAGCCAGGCTGCGGGGTGCTGGACTGCTGGCTATATGCTTCTTGCTGCAGGCTGCCATTGTAAAAAAAAAAGAGACATGAAAAGTAAAGAGAAGATGAGGAAGAAAATGCTGCGGTACTGCGGTGGTGCAATTAAATGAAATTACTACCCCTTCGCTGAAAAAACAAGCCGAAACACTGTCCCGGCTGATTTGTTGTAAGAGAAAAATACTGTTCCACCTGAAAAAATAAGTTGAAAAGTACGGATTATAAGACAAGCGAACACCGCGGCGGCTTCGGCGTGGGCGGAGAAGGAGAGCGAATAGGGCGAGGTGGGGGCGCGTGGCATCGGCGACGGCGGCGGCGTGCAGCGTAAGCGACAGAGCGGGGCGGCAGTGGTGCGGCGGAGCAAGGTGAGTGTAACACCTCTGGTGTTACGAGCTTGCTTAGCACCGCGATTTAGGCCTATGAAAATTTTCGAAGCGAGTTTCTCGGATTTTTGATTTAAAGCATGAAAAGCAACTTTTATAAATAAAATAAATCCATTAATAAATAGAACGATACATATATATAAACTCACGGGTTTATTTTGTTAAGCACGAACTGACGAGAAAGAGAGCGCACCAGCTTCGTTTATTTTTCCGACGTACAGCGTACTCGTTGCATGGCAATTATTCACTGTCTCGTCTCCCGTCGTGGCGTGGTAGTGCAAAGTCTCCTCATCTATCCGCATCCTTAATTCCCGGTCTTTGCTTTTGCTTCTTTCTCTGCCTTGATTGCCTCTGCCCGCATCTGTCGAGCCAAGCAACCGCAGTGGCCATGTGTGCTTGCCTTCTCGCGTCCTTGCTTGGGAAGGTTGTCGAGTCGCTCATTGTTTTCCCTCCATCACTCCTTGTTTGTCTCGTCGTTTACTGCTATTTTTCACGCTGTTCTGTCTCTGCCACGCCGTGTCCTCTCTTTGTCGTGCACCGTCGAGTAACCACGGCCTCCGTTGTTCCGTCGAACCATTAACCTTGTCGTGCTGCCTCAGCTGCCCTGCCCTATCCGCCCCTATCTCCGCTTGCTCTGCCGAGCTGAGCATCCGCCAGGGTTGTGGTCGCGTGTAACGCATGTGCGCGCGTGGGTTTGTCTGTCCTGGCTGCGCTGCCTGCTTGCTCGTTGCGTCACCTCGCCTGCACGTGGTTCTGTCCCACGTCGCGTCTAGGAAGTTGATGATGAACCGCACCGCTCCTCGCTCTCTCTCTCACGTGTCTGCTTTTTTTTCTGGCCTCCGTCCGCTCTACTGCGCTGCTGGGCCTCGACCGTCACCGCAACGTCATTCCCCAGCTCGCCCTCCCTCTGCTTCTTGATTACGCTGCGCTGCTGCTCTCATTCTGCTCTCCCTTCCTTGCTCCTCGCAACCGTAGCACCACGCCCGAGCCTCCATCGGCTCCTCGCTCCTCCTCTCACGCGCCTGTTCTGCCTCCCAGCTTGTCCGTAGTGTCGGCCATCGCAAGCACAGGGCGCCCATGGTCGCACCGCTGTGCCGATCCCTTTTCCCCGCTCGCGTGCGCGTGCATGCCCTCGGCCGCGCGCCTGGGCCCGTGAAGCACCGGCGCCCCCTCCTCTTCCTCCCCACAGCGCCGCTTCCACCGCAGAGCGTCCGGCCAAGCCGTGACCGCCCGCGCCTGCGGCCGTGATGGCCGCAGCATTTCGCCGCCTCCATGACTCGCTCCACCTCCGTGCCTCGGCCATCGACCCCACCGTTGTCCGCATCGGGTCGCCTTGCTGCTTCGCGTAGGTCCCCGCCTTGGCTGCGTCGCCATCTCTGGCCCCTCGTGAGCGTGCGAGCCCCACGGTCGATTTGGAGCGCTGTCCTTTTGTGCTCCTTCCTCAGCCCGTGCCCTCCTCCTCGTGTACGCGCACCGCCGCTGCGCAGTTACCTGCGCGCATGAGCTCCGCCGCCCCTGCTGTCGCGACCGTGCGTGGGCGACACGGTGTGTTCCGCCTCGGTCCGCGCCGTGGCCAGGCGAGCCGGTCGTGGCCGCGTACCTCCCCGCACCGCTTCGCTTTCGCCCGTGCTGCTGCCCCGCGCCGTCTCCCCTCCACCGACGGGTGCGCAGGGTTGCCGGGATTTGGTCGCCGGAGCCGCCGTCCTCTGCTCCCCTGTTTCGCCGAGAGAGGGAGAAGGGTAAGAACAAAGTAGAAATCTTGTACAGGGTCCTCAATGCTAAATACGTGACTCAAGTGAATAGTGCTTGTGTCCTGGGGGTTAGTTTCAAGAAAACGCAGGGGTGTCTTCACATAATGATGCCACCGCCACTGGGCCTCCCCTCTTGGGCCGACCTGCTCGCCGGTTGGACTACGCGTCCACTATTCTAGGCCGAGTCACGCTGTCGGCCTATTGCCGACGCGACTGGGCCGCCTGCGCGCGCCCCGTCTAGGCCATCATCGGCGCGCCCGCTTGGGCCGGCCTGGTGCCGCATGCGTTGGGCCGCGCCATCCGCACTTGGGCCGCTGGACCGAATGGGTGGCCGCTGGCCCTTTAGTCTTATGAAGCATTTGTCAATTTAGTTGCGGAAATAACTTGTAAAAATTGTAGTAAATCATAGAAAAATCATAAAAATGCTAAACCAGTTTTGTTAAGTTTCTAAAATCATGATCTATCTAATAGTGTATTCTGTTCACATAGTTTGATGATATTCTTGGAAGCTATATAATTAATTAGAGGTACTTAATATTGTAAAAATATGAACTTGTAGGAATTTCCATGATAAATCGGTGATAGTGTTAGCTCTAAAAATTTTACAGTAAATTACTAATATTATTAGCTGCTCACTGTAATTTTTGTAGCTCCAGAATAATTAGTTTACTAGATAGATAATGATGCCCTATTTCGAATAATGATTAAATCGATAGAAAGAAATGAAGAAACAACTTAGGTTTATGTAACTAAAATAATTGTTGGGAAATAGCGCCTTATTTGACAACTTGGATACGTAGACCAGCCTTAGAGCTATCTCGTTAGCTTGTGAGGCATGATCGGATTTCTAAGCATTTCGGCTGTCGTTGATTATTTACATCTATGCATTTGCATCAATGCGTATCATAAATTATGATGATGGAGCAACGGATCAATTTAAGGATGATTGGGAATTTGAAGATGGTGTAATGGTATTTTCTCTAGGAGAATATGCAATGGGCTTTCTATTTAGATGATGGTGGATGATCTAAAGATGCAAATACTAACTTTTGGTTAAATCTTACCCAAGCAAGTCCCGGTGCATAACCCCTACTTTCTATTATGAGTCTTACTAGCATGACATGATCGGGTAGATTGCTATGCTACAGGACTCCGGTAGAAGTCGAGTGATGGTTGTCACTCGCGAGAGATATGAAATATATTATTGGATTATTATCACATGGAAAATATAATTGGTGGAAAGAAAAAATGGTGACCGGGCAGGGATATGGTTTGGGTATTGGTGGGTGTAAGAGGTTGTGTCACCGTGGACGCGGGGCATGGCTTGGTTACACTGCTTTTCCTGTCTGTGTCGGTTAAGGACCGGCCATTGCATAAGATGCTAGGCAAGTCACAGATTTATTATCCCAAGCACATACTTGTGTATGGGCACTTGAAAGACTTGTTGCTCTCTTATCGTGGATCTGGCTCTTTCTGGACCGACGGTCAGGGTGTTTTTTGGGTTAGGAGGTCCTTGCACCGCACTGAGTCCAGGACTCAATGGCAGGGGCTTGGAGTCCCAGTTTGGATGGGGACCTAGACACCTAGGACAGGAGGGTGATGGGTTATTCCTGCTTGTGCCTGGGGTACAAGCGGGGCGTGTGTTTTCAGGGTACCCAGCTGAGAACATTGGTTCGCGAATCGCCGTCGAGTCGGTACGACTTGTCTTAACTCTAGCACCGTAGTAAGAACTGAAGATGAAAGATGGAAAAAGAAAACCTGATTGCTTACCAGCTGCTTGAAAGTAGCACAGGTGCTTACATAGAATGGTTAGTTAATGAACCAATACGGCTATTAATAAAAATTGAATATAAGGACGCACGCTTAGTAATGCTTCCTGCGGATGCAATAAACCCACAAGCCAGATAGCCTTGCATATCCTTAGAGTCTTTTCTTTCCTCCTGTCGGGTAAGTCTTGCTGAGTACAATTGAGTACTCAGGGTTTTATTCCCCCTGTTGCAGGTGATAGGCGGATGCTAGAGTTGACTCTTGTGTGTGGACTCCTCCTGGTGGGCTCAGCGAGGATTTCTTTACGCTGCGATCGTAGATTTTATTTATAACTCTTACTAAATGTTTTTATAAATGAAAGTTTTATAATATCTTGTCATAGTTTACATATCAATGTTTCATCATGCCATGAATAGATATTTATTTCCGCTGTAATTCTGATCACATGTTTATATTCCACTGTTACATTAAATTATTCATAACTCTGATAATATGATTACATTCCGCTATCATAATAATAAATGTTATACTCTGATGCACATGTAAAGTGATGTAAGAAATGGTTAAGAATGATATAAGCTTTATTCTCTCATTTGTGATCCTGATGAAAAATGAAGATTTTCGGGTTCTCCCCTAGGGTGTGTCCGACGGAACCGAGTAATTTAGTGTTATCCCTTGGGTGCTTAGTGTCTAATAGAATACGAGCACTCCTGAGAGGCATTAGATTAGACGGTTCTACCACAGTGAGGGCGGCGACGGTGCTTGCTGCGGCGGCGCAAAGCAAGGGAAGGGAGGGAGAGGAAGTAGAGGAGGGATAGCAGGGCACTACGACGGCGGCGACCTCGGTGC